CAGGACTCTGTAATAAGAGTTTTTCTGACGAAAATTCACCGTTTTTTTTGCGCAGCATTACATAAGTTTCTCTGATTTAATACAAAGTTGTAGAGTTCTTTACTTAATAGGAATGTCACATCGGATGAATGCCATTTTGGTGGATCAAAATACTGCCTTGGGAGTTTTCTTTATAGCCGTTAACAATACTCGAGCTTGGTTTGCCAATTTCGAAATGTACGGTTGAAGGAATCTGTTGGATTTTGGGCTAGAAGCGAGAAGATAAGAGAGGAAAACGTATAAAGATTGGAATAATGGTGTATTCATTTACTCGTAAATGCTGATGTGGTATAAACTCGAGTGGTTTTGTAATGGTATAAATGATTTCTTTTGTAAAATCTGATGTTTTAGAATATTCGATTTCCTAACCAAAGTCCTTTTAAGAGAGGTGTAGGAGAGGATTAGCAAGATCTTTGAATAGTTGAGGTGAACTGCAACATGTAACAGCGACAATGAATTTAGAAGAATGGGTATAATTATTAGTGAGTTAGACCGATGTCCAAAGTTATACGCTGTAGGATATGTGGTTAGAGCAAGTGAGCATTCTGTAGAATAATACATCAAAATTTCACTTGTTTTTGAAATTATTTTTTTTAAAACAGCTAAAGTAGGTCTGTCTGACGAGCTGAATCCAGGGGATCATGGCCCTGAAAATGCCCGGGGTAGCTTTGAGACCACTTCCTGGAGCCCATTTCACAGTCGTTACAAGTCCACAAGTTACAAGTGAATTCACTGTTAAATTGCGAGAACCGCGGAAATTGTGTTTCGCAATCATATTAGTAATCACTAATAGTAACATGCCCAGAAGTTCACAAGTGAAATTCTACAAGAAACATGTTTCTGTTTCTCACAACTTACTAGAAGTCTACAACAATTGTAAATGAGCAGTATTTTGTTACAAGCCTACAGATACGTGTAGGGTTGAACGACAAGTGACGATTTTTTTATATTTGTGCGTTCATAGGTGTTTAGAATTAAGAAATAGCCGTATTATTCTATTAGTGATAGTGATTTAGACAATGTTAAGGGCATAATGATCACAAATTTTCTCCAAAACGTACATTTTGTTGCATCTGAATACCATTGCGAAGAAATGTAAGAATAAAATGTAAAAGTAAGTATAATACGAAGTAAGCAGAATGAAAGTTCAAGAAAAAATGAAGTAATTTTAAAATGAATGAAGAAAATGTAATATCTATACAGAAGCGTCTGAAATTGAAGTAAAAAGAAAGGGTGGAAAAAGAAATAGAATTGGTTGTAAAAATAAAGACTAAAACAAACAACGCCAGAAACAAAACATACGCACGCAAAACCAAAAGACAAAGACGCGAGACGGACACGAAGGCAGGCAGTCGACTCAATTCCAAGGCACGCGAAAGCGTGCAAGTTATTTAAAACAATAATATAAAGTAATATTTTATTGAGTCACTTATACAATTAGAATCCTGTATGACGAGTCAAATATAACGTATGTGGATGGAGTACAATTGCGCACATCTTCTTGAATGCAGAGAGTGAAGTTACATTTACTGTCCAAAAGCAAAACAAGGAGCCTTCTCAACATTTGCTCAAAGCAAGGAGGTTAAAACCTCCTTGGTTCAAACAACGCTCAAAGGTCCAGGGAATAGAATTGCATTGGGGGTAATTCACTTGGGGGCTTGAATAGGCTTGTGGATACAAGTGAATGCTCAGAGCAATGCTCAGAACTCCACAAGTGTTGTAAAATCTGTGAAACAGAACTTATCTGTACTTGAAATAATTAGTACTAGTAACTTGTAAGCTTTGTGAAATGGGCCTTTTGCCGCAGCCCTAACCCCTTTCCCCTCTGCTGAAAAATTAAGAACTCTCCAGAAACCACACTCCAGAAACGCTCAAATCATGTGGAAATCACTTAAATCCTGCCAAAAAGCCTCCTAAAGCTGTTCATTTGCAATTACCTGAAGGAAAAGGGAAGTATCAGCGCCCTAGGAAATAAATGTCTACAAGAAATAGAGAGAAAAAGTTGGGACTCACAAAGGGTATGGCAACGCCGATGGGCTTCTAAATTTTAAAGGTATATTACTTCCTGGTGTCAGAAAAATGTATATATTTGGGAAAATACTCTCAAGTTTCCAAACTAATTTATTAAGTTAAAAACAGAAAATTGAATTTTTGGTCGATTTCCTCTACACATCCCCTTAATACTAGTAGGCCCCTCACAACGGGTTACAATGCTTCAAAGTACATTAACAGGTTCTGGCCTAAAGTTGAGATCCAGAATGACGCTATTTTCATTTTTAAAGGGCAAAATTTTCTAACAGATCCAGCTAGTTTCTATTTCTTCTGTTGATCAGCAGTTTGCTTAATGTGTTTCCTTTTAGTACTCCGTTTTTCTGAATTAATGTTGTCTATTCTGCAATGGCTCTTATTATTCGTCGTTCATTCTTTTCCCGTGGGGTAGATTTCAGATCTTCAGATACTATACATTTTCTGATATAGTAATTGATCTCCTTTTTAAATCCAAGAAAATTGTGCACTTGTTTTCTTTACTTTTTCGAACTTACAGATTGTGATGAACAAAATTTTTGAAAAAAAATCAATTTAGGGTACCTGTGCTGTTATTTATAACATTTATTAAAATTAAATTCAAAAATATTATCGAATAAATCTATTACATGAATACCTTCGTAAAACTTTAGGTGCAATAATAGGGGGTCGAACAACCTCGACTTATCATAAATGAATGAAAATACCGTAAATCAGGTAAAACCTATTTGAACTCCTGAATTGCAATATTATAATGGCAGTCGTGAGTCGGCGTCTTTTATTTTGGACAGTGCGTTATAGACTAGTCACTTGTGATACGAGTGGTAAAAGTGACTTCATTTTGCGAGTAGGAGGCCGAAGGGCCAAGTGACGCAATCCTACAAGCAAAGCAAAATAACTTTTACCATATGTTTCATACACTATTTTTTTGAATTTTATCTTATTTTAATTCAAGCTGAAAAATTGCTGTTACATTAAAGTCAGTAGTAGGTGATGCGATCAGGCAAAAGTATTTTGTTTTCTTTGACCTACAGGCCTACACGGTTTTACAAAGGCGAGTCAAATGAAAACCGTAATTATATTTTTAAATAGTATTTATTGTACACATATGGTACAAATCTGAATCACTTTTCGACATAGTCTCCCCCACGCTCACTCCACGTCTGTCAGCCTTTCCTAAGCAATGTGCCTGAATTCCCGCAGAAAAAATATTTTTGGGAGACGGCACAACCACTCGTACACCGGGTGGCGTTCATCATCCAAATGGAACTTTTTGTCGCCTATTTGCTTCTGTGAGTGGCCCAATCATGTGGAAATCGCTGGGGGCAAGATCGGGAGAGTAAGGCGGATATGGGGGCATTAAATCTCAGATCTGTTATTGTCGCAACCGTTGCACGTGCATTGTCGTGTTGCAGCAGAACACCTGCCGATAGCATTTCACGTCGTTTCGTTTTGATGGCATCTCTGTTTCAATTCCGAGGTCAGTTGTCGGGGCACCCATTTTGCAGACCTTTTAAAATTGGAGCATATCATGCACAATGTGACGTGCTGAACCATGACTAATGTATACATCTTTTGCAATGCCGTCTAATGTCACTCGGCGGTTGTCCATCACGATTGCCTCAACCGCTGCAATGGTCTCTGGAATCACAACGCGATGTGTCTGGCCTGGGCGCGGAGCGTCGGACTCACCATTTGCGAACTTCCGACACCATTCGTACAATGCTGCTATGACAAGCAGGCGTCATCATACTGAACCTTCATTCGTCGAAGAACATCAATAGGTTTCACACGCTGTTCCTTTCTGGTGCACGTTGCTAGTGAGGCAACCATTTTTACACTGTTCCTGCGCTGGAATTTGTGTTTCTTCACAATGATGCCAAATAGGAGACATCTGGCACACTATTGCGAACATGCCTATCAACTTACAGTATACTAGCGCCACATTTGGATTTTTTATTATACTTTTACGGTTTTCAGCTGACTCACCCTCGTATTTTGACATTTGAGTGCCGTCTCATTTTTAAAACTAGTGCTAAAAATTAAACTTTAAGCGGGCTTTACATGCCCTAAAAGTAACTGCTTTTACTATGAGCTGTCCAAAAAAATTGTTGAGTTATCAAATTTGCATATTAATGCACAAAGTCAAATATGTCATTTAATGCAATGTGTAGCAACGTGTGAAAGAAAAACAAAACAATGATGGACGCTCAAGTTTCTAAGACGCTGGGAGAGTTACTACAAATTACTCACTTGTTATATATGTTATACATGATAAATATCATTTCACCGTTCGATAAAGACATTTGAATTTGTAAATGATAGACTCATATCAACCTTTTAACATGCTTGAAATTCTGCTACAATGAGATATTTCTTCCGTAATTGGCAATTCTGGGCTCTCGAGTGTGCCGCACAACTTCAGTCAATTGTTTCTTTACGCAAAATTTAAATTGCCCAGTAGCAGGGTATTTCAAAATTGGTTTTCTGTACATGCTGTTTATCTTTGGATGTGTCCTGATCACTGTAGATTCGAAAGTATCTTTAAAAACAATACGTGTGAAAAGTAGGAAGCGATTTAGTAAGTGTGTATTATAAGTGCCCATGTTTATGTTTAAAGAAGTTTTTAACTATTTCATTTACATGTGACAAATGGATTCTTAGAGTTCATATTTTTCTTGGAAGTATTGAAAGCTACTGTACTGTAGATTTGGAATTAGTTGTCGTAGAAAATAGAGACAGTACGTACTGGTACTTACATTTAACTAGGCCTTTTTAAATATATGTGGTTGCAAAGCAGTCAAAAGTGCAAAGTAACATATGAAGTAATAAATTATTATTTTAAAGAAAAGTAAAAGTTAAATGTGTACACATTTGAGTTTGGGTTCTTTACCTTAAACAAAATATAAAACTGAAATATATTAATGATTATTGTGATGGCTGGACCAGCATATTCAGAAGAAATGCAGAGTACATCATTTACGATTAGTCAGGAAGATGTTTTAGAACAATTGAAGTGCCTAACTTCTGAAAATGTTTTCAATTCTTCAATGTCACCTGGTAATCTAACTAATGAAGAAGTAGAAAATGAAATGGGGACAAATGCAGCTATTCTGAAGTCTGAAATTACAGTTCTGAAAAAGAATGCAAGTTGTAATTCTTCTGAAGACACAAATAAGCAAAACTCCCCTTTAAATTCAGAAACATGTAAATATACCATAAAATTTAAAAGAATAGGTGATAAGACTATAAAAATATGGGAATGTGGAATATGTGGCAGAGAATTTCAACATCAGTACACATTAATGAGACATTTTCCAATTCATACTGGTGAGAGAAAATTCAAATGTGAAGATTGTGGAAAAGCGTTTCGGCAAAAAAGTACTTTGTCTCAACATCAAGTTATTCACAGTGAAGCTCGTCCTTATGTATGTGCGTTGTGTAAAAAGACTTTCAACAGAGCATCAACTCTGAAATCACATCATGTGACCCATAGTGAACAAAAGCCACATAAATGTCCTGTCTGTGGAAAAGGCTTCCATCAGAAAGGCAATCTAAGAAATCATATTTTTATACATACAGAGGAGAGGCCATATAAATGTAACACTTGTGGAAAAGGTTTCAATCAGATGTCTAATTTAATCAGCCATAAGCAGCATACTCACAGGAATGCAAATTTGTATGTATGCAGTTACTGTCACAAAGAATTTCCCCGCAAATATGTACTTAGAGCACATGAAGAATATATACATGGAATCAATTACAAAGGAGATATATATTTAGATAAAATGAGAAATAATGCAGAAAATGATTTAAAATCTTCTGCAGCTGAATATTCCCCTGAAAGTAGTATAGCAACCAAGAACAACTTTACCACCTGTGAACATAAACCTATAATAACAGACATCAATTGTGAAAATGAAAATAAACCGTCTATTTTAATTAATCCTGTGAATACACAAGCCATGTTAAGTGCCAAACGAGAAGGTCGAACATCAATTGCCCTCTTGAAAACTTCCTTTGAAGAGTCTGTTTTGGTAAAAGTTGTTGATACGTTAGATATGAAGCAAATGTTGGTTCCAGCTTCAGCCAATGATCTCAAATCCGCTGGTGCCATAACAACTGTTAAAAGCTTCAATATGGAAAACAACAGGTCTGGCATAACAAATGCAATTCAGATTAAAGTTCCAATTGTTGCTACAATTGTTCAGAAATCAACTGCAGATGGACAAGCATTAATTGAAGTGGAAAATCCCCATTTTGATCAAGAATCTAATTGTAACCCTAAACACATCTTGCAAAAAAAAGATAATAAATATTCTGCTTCATTGTTTATCAATCAATATGATCTTCAGACAACTCAATCACCATCTGCAAACAGTCAGGTCAGCTACTCAGCAGATTCTAAACATCAGGAAAATGTAGAATAAGAATGAGAGTAATAATTTGAATTAAATTATTTACAATTTATAGCTTTGTAGAATTGTTAATGAAAAACATTAATCTGAATTTGCATCCTGCTCTGTACCTTTTTAGTCCTATCAGTGAATCAAGATGAAAATAAAAGCATCAAAGATGCAAAGAGTCCCATTTAAAAATTAGAAGAAATAATTTTGTTCAAGGATGGCTGTTTCCTTCTTTTGATTATTTCCTCTTCTCTGTGTAGCCTATTTAATGAATTACACACATATTTGTATGAAGAAAACAATTTTCAGAAATGTAAAATTGAATATTGTAGTGCAGAGAAAAAGTAATATAAATGTACTCAATACAGGACCAATTGAGAAAAAATATTAAAACTTTCTCACTTGTTATTATGTTAGAATCTGGGCTATGTTTTGAATGAATGCTAGGAAGATTATCATTTGAATCATAGGTACTTACCACTCTGATCTAGCAGAAATTAAGTGTAACAAAATGTGGATAGTTGTCTTTACTCCTTTCCAAAGTAAATAAAATGAGATCATCACCTTTTTTCCCTCCCCAAGAATTGTTAATTAATGTTATTGTTTTCAGCGCCCTTTGTGAAGGTGGATATTTCATATTTGGATCATAACTCTTCCAGTAATATAAAACAATTGTGAATTTTCATGATATGTATACTTGTTTGTCTGTTAAAATGATTTTTAAATGTATAATGTTTATAACTATGTGAGTGATCACTTACTATTTCTGAAGTAGGGCTATTCATTTTGTAGCTCCAACGCATTGGTATTTGTACAATAGTAAAATAAATGTTCTATGATTCTGATTGTATGTTTTTTTGAATAAACCATATTTTTTTATGTGTGTGGTGGATTCTAAAATAGCATCTTTAACCGCTCAAATCAAACCATCTTATTCTTCAAAAATTAAAGTTATTTTTGTTCAACTTGTGTAGGATTTTGTGAACTGATTTAATCATATTCATTAATTGATCCGCACTATATACTCTCTGAACCACACATAAACACAAGTTATAAATCAATGTATTTTTTAACAATGTAAGTCATACGAAGTATCTAGAGAAGACTCCATGTTTGGAAATTAAAACATCATACAATGTAAAACAAGCATTGTTATTAATATTTAAACAGTACATTTTTGGCTGTTTTTGTATTAATTGTACCTAAAATATTCCAAAAATCCTTGTAACTAGATTTTTAAAACATGAAAGTTTTAAAAGCAAAGAAATAGATGCCATAGTCAACTAGTGTTTTTGTTTTCTGACTTCATGTTTTCATTTGATATTCTTGGCATATTTTGCTTCATTTAAAGGCTACTGTCTGTAAAGTGTCTTCAGAATCTGCTATTATGGCTTGGTTATCTGCAAATCATATAATCACAAAGTTTCTGGTTTCTTGTTATATTTCCACTTGCTTGAGTTTTCTGTTTCTATTTTTATTCAAAAGATTCAGGTAAATATTGAAAAGAAGTGGTGACAGTGTGAATTCTTGATATAAACGTTTATTGACGTATCCGCTGAGTGTTCGAGATTTTTAAGTGTTGAAAATTGTTTACTGTTGATGGTTACTCAAGCCAGAAGTTTAATATTGTTAATAGTTCTTCAGTTGCTTGCTTGTTAATATAATTGATAACATTAAGTTTCAAGGTGATTCATATACAGTAGATCTCATCTTAAAAATAATATCGAATAGGACCTAAGGAGTTGAGTGTTTTTCAGAGTTTTGATTCCAATGTTCCCCATTTATTGCTTGTGTGCTTTTTTCCCAAGGAAAGTTAGATTATAGTATTTTAACTATGACTTGGTCATCTCAATTTTTGGACAATATCCTTTTAACTTCGAAACTTTTCTTCTGTTGATGAGTTTGGCCTAACATCCCTTGGCTTTCTTTTCATGTGAAATTAAATATTGACTGTAATTACCTTTAATTGATAGTAAATTCAAATTATGAAAGTGAAATTAATTTGTTTAACATTCCGAGTTGCCAAACAATATAAATTTTGTGATTACACCATTTTCGGATTTGTTCTGGAGGATTTTCGTTCTTTTTCTCCTTGAGAAAACTGGTTAAGATTTTATTACGAGTTACACAATAAATATAATGTGAATCACCAACTTGCTATTTGATTTGTCTGAAGCATGAGTGTAGGCATATCTATATTCAGTTTAAAGCACACTCTTGCCAGGAGTGGCCCAAATAACCTAGGATACTGCACCCACAGGATTATACCTACTCTCAAAGTTAGTAGAAAATATGTATCATGTTAAAAGTTTTAAGAATTTCAAAAAATTAAATGTTTTAATAATTGAATATATTATTCCAACTAAGAAATGTTCAGCCAGACCAGATGGCTGAGATCGTAAGGCAGTAGTGCCATAGTGATCTCAGACCGAAGGATCGTGGGTTCAAGTGTGTTTGTATTGTGTATTGTGTTGTTTTATTGTCTTGCTTGTATTCGTCCTTTCACTCCCTATCATCACCATAACATGTCATCTTCACAGTTACCATACCATTAAATGCAAATAAAAAAAAGTGCAAATCTTATAATCTAACTTAACAGGACTACATCTCACACTAACCAATACAGATCAGTTGAACAAAAACCAAACTGATTCAAGCTTAAATCTAATGATTGAAACTAGAAGTAGTTGAGTAATTATGAAACTAATAATTGGAAACTTTACTTGATATATTTTGTTTACAAACTTCAGAAGCTGTGAATTGTACCTATAACTAGCAGAAGAAAATTAAAGGACTTGCAAGTATAACTTATAATTTTTTTAAATTGAAAATAGAGTAACATAAAATTGCAATTACTTACTTTGTAAATTTTTATTGTTCTAAATTTCAATATTTTTATTCTTACCTTTGGATCACATTTTAAAATCAATAATAGACCTCTAATCAATAATAAGACCTCTCAATATATTAGTAGTCCAATATAAATTCTTGTAAACTACTTTCTGATGACAATTTGGTTTTTAACATATCTTAGTCTTCATTATTTTAGTACATAAATTCTGTTATGATACTTCTCTCCAAAAATTCAATGACAGAACTCAAGATTTCACTCTTTAAAACCTATATGTACAAAATAAAATTCTGGAAGATTATGTTTCTTCACACATATTGATTTGTGGCTAACATTTATTAGTAGTTAACAATTTTGTAGAAATTATGTTCAGGTCTTAATTTCTAATTTCAAATAAAAAATGGAAATAAATTATTAAGGATTGAAGTAAATAATTGACCACAACACGGTAGTTGTCGTGGAGAATAATTTTCATTGTTAGTAATAGGTATTTCCATTACTTGAAAAGAACATCTCTGTTAGATCATCACCTCCCAACTGCATTGCAGTTATTAATAGAATCTACAATTAATTAAAGTATAGTTTAAAATTTGTGATTGTTACTTCATTCTGCTCAACTCTGAATAAATCAGAAAGTATTATGGATTATTAGATTAAAAAGCTTTTGGATTCTCTAAGTTTTCTTGAGACAATAGGGCACTTTATGAACTTACAATTAACACAAGCAGAAACTGCAACAAGTATTTACTATGCAAAAGAGAATGAAATATCAATTACTAAAACCTACCTCTACACAAATCATGTTTCCCAAAATAGAAAAGGGAGAAAATTGACATTGAGGGCTTACTGTTTCATTCTCTTTTGGATTGTCTGTTTATGCTTAAAAGAGAAATACTTTTGACCTTGTTTTCCACACGAATTTTCAATTGGGATGTGCTAAGAAAATTTGGGAGTGTGGAAAATTTGAAGGACTTAAGAGTGTATAGAAATGGTTTTGTATGTGTCAGTGACAGCTATAGTTGTGAGAAATTATGCAATGCTATGGAAAATCTATTGAGAAATTTTAACGGAAATACACATTTTGGGATCCCCTTATAAAGAAAGAATTTTCAAAATGTCTGTGTATCTGTGAACAATACTAGTACCTAAGATACTCTGAGGAACTCTCATTTTTTCAAAATGAATATTGCCCTATTTATCTGGCAAGGCTTGAAGTTCTGCAATTTTGGAAAGAATTCTGTAAAGTTTGGGAGTACATTGCTAGAAGCCCCTGAGACATTTTCGGAATTTTGTGAAAATACCTCCATTTTTTCCCCTCGTAAGAAATACACTTATAAAGATGGCATAGGTTGAATTTTCATTGTCACACCCATTTTCAATTTCAGTTTCATTCTTGTAAACATCTGTTACTTACCACTTACGAGTATCTGAAGTGAAGTGTGACTCATCTTTAGTTTCGCGAAGTCATCAATAACTTCTTCATAAAAATTGGTTCTGTTGGGCAGTTCTTTCATAAACAACTTTTCAATTGATAGAAAAGCTACATTAGAAAACATGCCTTGGTTAATCGGATTTCTTAAGTAAGTCTTTCTTTTAATACGTTTAAGAGCTGAGAAACTGCGTTCAACAGATGTAGCTGGAATCCTCATTACAGTTTCACAGTGTCAGAGTATGCAACATCAAGACGATTATCTTTTATACATTTGTGAAGTCCACAAACATTATTTTTATTAATTTCTTTTGATGTTTCGAATATTACAGAAAGTTCGGATCGCAAAGCTACTGCATCGAACATGGTTCCATAACTTTCAATTAAAGAAGAATAGTACGCTGGTTGATGAATGGCACTGATGACGCTGGCACAGGAATGTCTCAAAGTTTCCCAATTCCAAGAATTTAAGGACCTTAAAACTACTGGATCTTATATCCAAATTGTGTGCAATGATGTCAGTTACTTTGATAGAAAGTCTGCGATTGTATTTTCCGTATCATCAACTTCGCTGCAGCGCAATCTTCTTTTGGTGGTGGTGGTGGTGGGGGCAGTTATATACCAGTGTCAATTCTAGAGTTTTCCCAGACTGTCACAGAATCCTTTCTCTTTTCTGATATTACATTTTTAAATCCGACAATTCTTTCAGAACAGAAACATGTCATTGGTCTTGCTACGCAGAAT